TGTGTGTGTGTGTGTGTGTGTGTGTGTGTGTGTGTGTGTGTGTGTGTTTGGGATACCCAATCTCCCAGCACCCTAAACACACGCACTCTTAACCCCCTCCAAGTCTTCTCCTTACTGACAGTGGCTGTGGCCCTCAACCCCAACCCAGTGTTTGGAGTGGCCATAAGGCGGAAGCCTCAACTGCCCAAGGCTGACCCCACCAGAGGGAATTATCTGAGCGTTTTGTCCTGGTGTCCCCACCTCAGACATCCCTGCAGCCCCATCCCGGTGACCACCAACCAAGCATGTTCTTACCCTGTAGAGGTTTTCTCCTACATGCTGGGCCAGGCTGAGGTGAGAGGACCTGGGGAAACCGCTGAGAACAAGAGACACTCTGTCAGTGGCACCCTGCCCCTGTCCCACTGCTCCAACTCCACCTTTGCTCCACTGGGGCTTCCCTGAGAATGTCCCAAAAGCGCCCCCTCCAGAGGAGCCCAGAGCCCGCAGCTCACACCCCCAACCCCTGGCCCAGACAGCCAGGACCACTTATTAGACCCTTCCTTGGTCTCTGCAGAGCCCTGCCATTCCACTGAAATGGTACGTGGACCATCTGAAGTGAAAGAAAGGGTACTTGGACCATCGGACCCACCCTTCAGAACCCCGGGGCGTGCGCGGAAGAATGCCAGCCTTTCCCACAGGAGGGAAGCCCGTCTTCTCTGACATTCTGTGGACAGGAGCATAGCTTCCCTTGCCCAAGACGTTCCTAAATGCTCGTCCCCAATACTCACGAAAAGCAAGGGCAGATAGACAGCCGGCTGTCTAAAATCGTCCCTTTCCCTTCCCAGGTCACGACTGACCCCAAGCGGGGGCAGGAAGCCCCCTCGCAAGCCCGGCCAGCAGCCTGGCCACCCACCCGCGGAGGGAAAGGCCCCGGGGGCTCCCGACGCCCCCGCCCGCGGCTCCCTTCGGCGGGGGACCCCGGCGTCCGCGGCCCGGAGGGAGGGCGAGCCGGCTTCCCCGCCTGACTCACCTGGAGGGGAGGGCGGGGGAAGGAAGGCCGCCGAGCCCCGAGGTCCCGGCGTCGGGCGGTCTCGGGGATGGAGCGCCGCGCTGTTAGGGACTCGCCGTAACGGGGGGCTCCAGGGGGCACGGCTCTAGGCTGGGACAATCCCGGGGCCTCTCGGAGCCCGCCCGCCCACGTGACCGCCCCAAAATATCCGACACATTTTCTCCCAAACCGCACACTGACTCCGCAGGCGGGGACACGGAAAATATTTTCTTTCTTTTTCTCCCTCCCTCCCCCCCCCCCCCTCCCTGCCCGGCTCCCTCCTCCCCCTCCCGCCCTCGCTCCTCCCTCCCCTGCCGCCTGCCCCTGCCCGGCTCCCTCCTCGGTGCCCTGGGGCTGGGGGTGGGGGTGGATGGGGGGAGGACTGGGCGGGGCGGCCCAGGACGCCTGGGTCTCTGCCCCTCCCATTTGCTGGGCTTCCGTGGCTCCGTCCCCGGGAGGCCGGGCAGAGCTGGCAGAGAGGTCAGTGTCCTGGGCTCTGTGATGCCAACCCTTTCTCTCTGGCGTTTGGGGAGACTGAGTTGTCTCTGGCCATGCTGTGTCCTGCCGTACCTCCCAGGGTAGGCAGTGAGGGACGTGGACACTCCCAGGATGTGGAGTGGTGGGGCAGGAGCATGCCAGAGAAGAAGGGCACTGTCCCTTCTGTAGTTAGCCTCCACCTGCAGGCCAAAACCGGCTCCCTTCCCCTGGCCTTCTCGCTCCTAAGGCCCAGGAGCGAACTGGTTTAACTAGTGGGGGTTATGAGGGTGCTGCGAATTGGGTTCACAGACCTCCTCCCTCTCAGTCAGACTCCCTCCTGCAGTCAGCTCCAGGAGTTAAGGCGCGTGGGTCTCTCGCTGCCAATATTGTCCCCACCTTTAGGCTTGGATTTGGAGGGGGAGAGGCTGGGAGGAGGGCTGAAAGAACATTAAAGGAGGGGGGAGTGGGAGGAGCCCTGCACTGGGTGTGAGGGAGAAAGCCCAGGCGAGGGTTCCTGTGTCTGGCTCAGCCAGCGAGGCCTGCCTGGCTGCCTGGTAGATACGCCACGAATGTTGTTGACGCTGGCTCTCTAGAAGCCCAAAGCTGGTGTCTGTGTCTGAGAGGGACATTCTCTGACTTCAGACAGACCGTGGGTCACAGGCTCTCAAACCTAGAAAGGGACGCCCGTGGTTGTTCTACAGAGCCAGGGAACAGTGAAGTGCAAGGCCTGTGCCCAGAACCGAAGCAGTCGCCCAGGGATGGTCAGGAGTCAGGACAGGAGAAAGATCATTGGACAGGCTGGGCCCGTCGCCAGCCCCAAGGGCCAGCCCCAGCCACACTCCCAGAGTGGCCAGCGCCGGGGGAATGGGCCCCTGGGTCCATCACATTTTCCATCCTGGAATTACTCAGCTCTTGCCTTGCTGCCACCGAGGGGCCAGCTATGCCCCTCCTGGGAGAGACTTCGTTGGGTAGCCATTATCGAGTGAAGGAGGAGGGGGCGGAGAGTCATGCTGTGGCGCTCCCAGGAGCCCAGAGACGTCAGCGGGGGCGCAGGCGAGCTCTTCCCTCCACTCCAGGGAGAGCTGGGGATAGGTACTCCAGGGTCCTGTCCCCGGGTGCCCGGCTGCTGTTGACTTTGCGGGGACCCTGGGAGCAGCCTCAGCGCCGTGGGAGGGGCGCGCGGCAGGGAGTTGGACCCTGGCATTCAGGCTGGGGTGGGATGGTGAGCTGCCTGTGTGGCACGGACCCTGCCAGGAGCCCGCGAAGTTAACCCCTCCTGCCCTGCCCTAGTGGTGGCTGGCGGAAGGAGGGGCGGGCCCAGCTGCGGTTTGGGAATGTGGCCCTAATCCCCTCCCCACCCCACCCCAGCACATCTGTACTTGGTTTACCGTGAATGAGTCTCCTGTCCTTGTGAACCAGGCTTGGGCACCGTTCCCTTCCTGCCCAGGCACTGGTCAGACCCAGGCACCACCCTGTCCGCCTCTGTCCCCTGCCTATGCAGGCTTTCAGCCCTTCCTTCACCTTCTTGAGAGGAGCTCAGCGCCTTGACCTGAGACTTGAAGCTCTGAGGCTGCAGCTTGGGGTAGCAGATGGAATGGAGAGGTTAATGCGGAGGGAGGGGGACAAACATGGGAAAGCATCCAAGAGGACAGTGCGTCTAAAATTCCATTGTTTCCCTCTCCCCCTTGTCTTGATTCGTCCATATGTCTCTCTCTGTCTTTGTCTGTGGTGGGTGTTTCTTCATTTATCCACCCTGCTCACTGTAACTACTTACTTGAAACTGTCTTGTTCCAGCCCGTGACTGGAGTGGGACGGTGTGTGGGGGGGAACATCCAAGAAGCCTTGCCCTGTCCCAACCCCTCTCAACAATAATTGTCTCTGCCCCTCACCAAGGCCAGCCACTGGGGTGTGCACACACAAGCAGGGCCCGGAGACAGAGCCCAGTAATCCCAGCCACTCAGGAGGCTGAAGCAGGAGCCTTGGGGCAGGAGAAATGGCTCAGCATTTAAGATCACCCTTTGCTCTTGCAGAGAGCCTGGGCTCAGCTTCCAGCAGCTACGTGGTGGTTCACAACCTCCACAACTTTGCTCGATTGGCTCACGGTCCCCTCCTGGACCGGGCACTCAGGCTTCACGTACATACATGCAGGTGAGACGCTCATGCACACAAAATTTAAAAAAAGGAAAAACAGGGCTGGCCAGCTCAGGTTTTGGTACACCAATTGACTAGCGCTATAAAACGCTAGGCTCAAGTCCCAGCACTGCGAAAGTGACAGGCACAGCAGACAGAGAGGAGGACTACAGAGGTCAAAGCTCTTCCACCATTCCCCATCTTACAACTGAGTGGCGTTCTGGCCAGGATTTTCTCCTCTGTCCCATAGAGGGGACTCCGCTTCCTCTCTTTCCCGAGGTTAAGTCCATTTCTAGGCCTTGCTGTGCTTCTAGGTGCTTTGCTGGCTCACGGTGGCAGCTCGGAGAAGCGGCATCCTGTAGGCTCTGGCATCACACTTCTTCCTTTGCTGCCCTTGTTTTTTTTTTATATATATTTATTTTGTGAGTGAGTGTGTGTGTGTGTGTGTGTGTGTGTGTGTGTGTATAAGTATGTGTACCATGTGCATTCAGTGAAGGTCAGAAGAGGGCATTGGGCTGCTGGGTGGTGGTGGCCAGCCTTGTCAACGGGGCAAGTTCCAGGACAGGCAGGCCAACACAAGAAACCCTGTCTCAAAAAAAGCAAATTAAAGAGAAGGAGGAGGAAGAGGAGGAGGAGAGCATTGAATCCCCCAGGACTGGAATTATAGAAGACTGCACTATGTGGGGGCTGGGAGCTGAACCCAGGCCGTCTGGGGAGCAACAAGTATTCCCAGCTGCTGACACCATCCAGCCCCCTCTACGACCCCTGTAGCAGAGCAAACCCCAAGAAGAGTCACAGGGAAAGGAGGACGCAGGAACGTCTCCCAGGCCCTGGCTCTGTCCTGCTATACCACCCCTGCCTTTCTCCCTTGTCCCCCCCCCACACACACACACTGACTAGGCCACTCTCTCCCGCTCAGCCTGGTCCTGCAGGCATGTCCCACGCCACGCTCAGAGGCTGCTGGCAGATGTCTGTGGGGGCTGGGGGAAGCTGGGATACAACCCTAGGGACATCATTAAGGCACAGAAGTACTAGAGGAGCTTGGAGACCAGGGCACCAGGGAGAACAGGATGAAAACATGTTTTTTACCACACGTGTGCTTTCCCTGGGCCTCTTTCCCTCCTTTGCCCTCCTCCCTCCAGGTATGCTCTGTGCCACGGCTGGCTTTGCCCTCCGTGCTTTTTCAGTTTTACCCTTGTACCAGGTCTCTCTGTGCTTGCCAGCTGCTTGGCTCTGCTGATGTGTAAGCTGTATGTGAAAGGTCCTAACCAGCCCCAGGGCTGACCGGACCTCCACTGAGAATAATGCCTTGGTTTTGGAATGTAACATTTTAGGGCTACCCTACACCGCCCTAAGACTTTCTTTTCCGGCATGCACCATTCATCGATTCAGCGAATTTGTATGGAACAGACTACATTCTGGGCCCTGGGAATCCACACATACAGCACCTGCCCTTGCTGGCTGGAAGTGTGGTGGAGGCGTCAGGTGTTAACTAACCAGGGCCCTCAAGATGGAGAGGTCAAGGGCGTGTTTACCTGTAGCCAGTTACTTCAGGAGAGCTTTCCGGAAGGAAAGGAAGAGAGGAGGATAATGAAAAAGTATGTTCGAAGACCCTGGGGTTGAGATCTCGATCACATCACTCGGACAACATAAGAGGGGGGCCCTGTTCCTGTACCCCTCCTGTGTCCAATCTGCCGCAAGGAAGGGGCAGCAAAATCCTTCTCATCGCCGACGCTCGCCCTGGGACACCTGGTAATGGTGTGCTGGAACGGGTCCATTTATTCCTTCTTCTCCTGTTCCAAAGAGTGATACAGTGATATGAAGACACGAAAAGGGGAAGACATACAGGCTCAGGCTTGAGACACATGCAAAACTCAAGGCTCCAAACTGGCAAATTCTCCAGCATGAAGGTTCTTGCATTTGCCTGGCTGGAGCCTCTTGGGGAGAAAGCTCTCTCCGCCCGCCCTCCTGCAGATCCAGCCCTGACCTGCCCTACTCCCTGGAGCTAGCAGCGCGTCGGCAGTTGTGTGGAGCTTATGAGGTGAGGGCTCCAGGTGTCTGCCAGCACCATGTGGGCCAGCGCAGCTGTGTGCTTGGCACAGAACCTGCTCGGGGAGGGAGATTCTTCCTCCATCCATTGCCCAGGCACCAAACTTGTACAGGTTCCCCTTCAACTGCTTCTTTCTAATTCAGTGCTTAGGATGGGACCCAGAGCCTCCAGAGCCTCGTACCTGTTGAGCGAGGGCTCTAGCGGGAGCTGCACACTGGTTGCACAGGTTTTCCTGAAGGAAGGAAGGAAAGAAGTGGAGGGCCCTTTGGAGGAGGGAGTGGGCCTCTTTGTGGCCATGCTGCCTCTGGAGGTGGCAGAGGTCATGGGACCAGTGAGCTTGCCCTCCATCCCTCATCTGACCTACTTTTCTACCTATGCCCACATCCCCGGAGGCCAGGGTGTAGGGTGGGGCCAGCCTGGCACCCCTGCACCCACACCTGGGACTTCCCCTGGTTGGAAACTCCCAGGACCCAGGCCTCCTGCCTGCTCTGCCAACTCCCACCAACTGCCTGGTTCAGCTTCCCTCCAGACAGATCTCCTTCAAGTCTCCTGCCAACCTACATCTCCATCACCAACCAGCTCCAACCCTCTGGGTCCACTTTTTAGGAAGATGTCTTCATGTCTGGCTGGCCCCCCACCTGAAGGTTCTTCTGTGTAGCCCTGGCTGTCCTAGAACTCCCTCTGTGGACCAGGCTGACCTCGAACTCACAGAGATCCGCCTGCCTCTACCTCCCTTGCTGGGACTAAAGGTGTATGCCACCACGCCCAGCTCATAGCAGGCTTCCTATGCCTTTCCTTTCGCTTCCCACTTCTTCCTCCACCAAATGAGAGACTTGGAAATTAAGTACAACCTAATTAAGCAGAAATTTATTGAGCATCTTATATATGCCAGGCACCGACAGGTACCAGGAAATAAAGAGGTCAGTATCCTCAAGGACTGTGGGAGGGGCGCATATATGGACTTGGAAGTGTGGGCCCTCAGTGTCCAGGCTAGCCTTGAGCCTGCTGTGTAGCTTCAATGAGCTTGAACTTCTGACTGTGAAGGGACCCAGGGCTTCGTCTGTGCCAGGAGAGCACTTACTTTTTGTGTTGTGTGTGTGTTTGGGGCGGGTGTAAGTATGTTCAGGACAGGCCGGGCAGGGTGGTGCATGCCTGTGAGCGCAGCACTTGGGAGACAGCATGGGCGGAGGGGGAGATGAAAGCCGCACTTGGCTGTGTGGTGAGCATGAGGCCGACCTGCAGTACCTGAGACCCTGTCTCAGAACAGACAAACAGTAATTGCCGCTAAAGGATGATGGAGAGGTAGCTCGCCAGTCAGGAGGACAGCTGCTCTCCCAGAGGACCCAGCACGGAGGCCAGGAGGCTCACGGTCGCCTGTCACCCCAGCTCCAGAGGATCAGACATGCTCCTCCCGCCTCTGTGAGAACACACACACAACACACACACACACACAAAGAAAATAAATCTTTTAAATGTCAATAAAAAAAGATACAGGGCTGAAAAAATGACTCAGAGGGTGAAGGCGCTTCCTGCCAACCTTGACAACAAATTCGCTCTGTCCCCAGACCCACACGGAAGGAGAGAAGCAACCAGTAACTATAAACAGGAAGTTCCTTTATTATTGTTCATTTTTGTGTATGACAGTTGGTTTATATGTGGGGTCCTGCACATGCATGTATGTGTACAAATGTATACATGTATGTGTGTACAAGTGTGTGTGTGTGTGTGTGTAGGTCAGCCTTAAGAGGTGTTCCTCAGGAATCACTCACTCCATGTTCTTTGTTTATTTCCTTTCTAAGGATTGTGCTTGTTTTAAGTTATGTGTAGGAGTGTTTTTCTGCACATAAGTAAGTGTGCTACATCAGTGCATTGCCCCGTGTCCTCTGCAAAAGCAGCAAATGCTCTTTTTTTTTTTTAAGATTTATTTATTTATTATTTATTTATTTATTATTATGTATCCAATGTTGCCTGCATGTACACCTGAACACCAAAAGAGGGCACCAGATCTCATGATAGATGGCTATGAGCCACCATGGGGTTGTTGGGAATTGAACTCAGGACCTCTAGAAAAGTAGCCAGTGCTCTTAACCTCTGAGCCATCCCTCCAGCCCTGCAGCAAATGCTCTTGTAGAGCCTCCTCTACAGCTCTGAGCTGGTGCGGGGAGGGTGCTTCTTTTTGTTTGTTTGTTTCTCTGTGTAGCCCTGGCTGTCCTGGAACTCTCTGTAGACCAGGCTGGCCTCGAACTCCACCAACCTCTGCCTCCCAAGTGGTGGGATTAAAGGCGTGTGCCACCACTGCCTGGCTTTTTTTTAAAATGTGTGTAGGTAGTTTGTCCGTACTTCTGTGCACCATATGTCTGGTGCCCACAGCGTCCAGAAGATGGGAGTCACAGACAGTTGTGAGCCATTCTGTGAGTGCTGGGAACATCGGTCCTCCAGGAGAGCAACCAGTGTTCCTAACCTCTAGGCCATTTCTCCAGCCCCTATGCACATTCTTGAACATCACAATTTCCTGAGAATACTGGCTGGGCCTAACTCTGTGTTTAATTGTCTTTTCTTGTTGTTGTTGGTTTTAGTTTAGTTTTATTTGAAGCAGGTTTGGATATGTAGCCCAAAATGGCTTAGAAGAGGCAGCGTACTGCCTCAGTTCCCAGATGCTGAGGTTACAAGTCTGTGCCATCACATCCTTCAGGTTCAGTGTACCAGACGATGCCAGGCTGTTTGCCAGGCTGTTTACCAGACGCTTACACTAGGCCAAATGTGTAGGCACCTACGACCCCAGAACTGGGGAGGTCAAAACACGGGTTGAGAAGTTCAAGGTCATTGCCACATACTGAGCTTGAACTAGCTGAGCTACTGAAGACCCTGTCAGAAAGAATAACAAGTGCAGGAGCCCAGGCGACAGTAACCGGTCAAGAACAGTGACAAGAGGCCCCGCAGCTTTGTTTTTCTAACCATCTGTGGCTATTCTTAGTAAGATCCAAGTCCCCTGCCGGGCTGTGGGGGTGCGTGCTTTAATGCCAGCACTGGGAAGGCAGAGGCAGGCAGGTCTCTGGGTTCCGGGCCAGCCTGGTCTACAGAGATTCAGAGCAGCCAGGGCTTCCCAGAGAAACCCTGACTGGAAAAATGAAACAAAACAAACAAACAAACAAACAAACAAACGAAAATCTAAGTCCCTGCTTTGACTCACAAGCCCTGCTTAGCGGGGCTCCATTTTAACCTCCGGGCCGGGTCATGCTGAGGCTTGCCTTTGCTGGGGCTTCTGTGGACCGCTCGCTCTCCCTAGAGATTCCCGTGGCTTGTCCTCTCACTTCCTTCCAGGCCTTCCCCGACATTGCCATCGCCAACATCCGTCCTTCCCTTCTGTTCTCTCGTCTCCTCCCTTGCTCTCCACTGCGTTTCACTTCTTGCTGGGAGATCGTCCGTGCCGCAGCATACATACGAAGGCCATGGGAGTTGGTTCTCCTCTTCCACCGTGCGGGGCTTAGGGAGCAGCGCAGGTGTCCAGGCTTGCGGATGAGCCACCTCTCGCCTTTTCCCCTTCTGCTTACTTTCATCTTGTAGACATACTTATTTTGGTGTGTGTGTGTGTGTGTGGTGCTCACGTGGCTCAGAAGAGAGCACCAGGTCCCCTGACTGGAGGGACAGATAGCTGTGAGAGCATGCGTGCTGCGAACTGGACCTGGTTCTCCCGGGCAGCGAGTGTTCATGACTGAGAAGCTGCCTTCTGCCTGCTCGTTAGTGTGGTGCTGGGGATCAAAGCTGGGGTCCCCTTACTATTTTTTTTAAGAGTTCTTTATTTATTTTATGCATAAAGTGCTCTATCTGCATGGACAGCTACACGCCAGAAGAGGCCATCAGATTCCGGGTTACGAGCCATCATGAGGTTGCCGGGAACTGAACTCAGAACCAATAGAAGATGCTCTTAACCACTGAGCCATCTCCAGCCTGCTCTCCTTTTTTTTTTTTTTTGAGACAGGGTTTCTCTGTGTAGCCTTGGCTGTCCTGGACTTGCACTTGCTTTATAGACAAGACTGGCCTCAAACTCAAGGCAATCAGCCAGCCTCTCCTGGGATCAAAGGTGGGAGTCACCATGCCCAGCTACATGATTGCTCTGCCTGCATGTACACCTGCAGGCCAGAAGGAGGCAGCAGATCTCACTATAGATGGTTGTGAGCCGCCATGTGGGTGCTGGGAATTGTTATTTTGTCTTTTCGCTGTTCAGAGCTGAGGACCCAACCCAGGGCCTTGCGCTTGTAGCAAGTGCCCTACCACTGAGCTAAATCCTCAGTCTGAGTGCTGGGGATTGGAAGAACAGACCCAGGCTCCCTTACTATTAAGTTGTTTTGTTTTCCCTTACCTGATTATTTGGGTTCATGCAGCCTCAAACAGCTCCCCCTCTTCTGCCAGGCTTGAAAACTTGCCCAGAATCCTTAAGGCGTATCCTCCGTGTTGGGTGCTGTCTAGATTTCCCTCTCGGAACCCCTTTTATCTGGTGACTCTGTGGTGAGACCACAGCCACCATGCTCTGGAATCCTGACTTACCAACCTGCTGGGTTTCTGTCCCCACGCCGCCCTACTCCTCCCGTCGTGGGCCTTCCTGGGCCTTCCTAGAGCGCGGAAGCGGGGCTGTAGGAGCCAGCGCCTGATCCAGCAACAGTAGCTGTCCAAGCCAGTTGCTGGTTTCCCGTAGAGAGCCGGGCACCCCACCTCCAGGTCGGCTGAAGGGAGGGAGGAGGAAAACATTGTCAGGCAGATCGAGAAGGGAACGTCCAGGTGGGGAGGTCTGAGCTCCCTGCAGGCTCAGCGAGGCTCAGAGCGTCTTAGACTTAATCCTGCCCGCCACCGTGCACCTCTGTTTCAGGGAGCCCTCCCTTCCACCCAGCCCCCAGCCTGCCTCCTCCTGCGGCTAATGGACTTCTCTCTGGGCCTCCGCTTGGGGCCTCGGAAGAAGAAGGCTACCTACCAGGAGCCCCCTCCGTACTCCGGGCATGGACCTCCAACCGCCTCTCCCTGCTTGTCCTGTCCCCCTTCCGCCTGCCCCGGCCCCTGCCCCGGCTGCCCCCCTCCCACCTGCACGGCTTGCCCCTCCTTCGCAGCTCCCTGCCCTTCCTGCCCAGGGCTCCCTGGCCCGCCCTGCACCTGCCCTTGCCCTCCTTGCCCTCCTTGCCCTGCCTGTCCTCAGTCCGCCTGTTCCCGTACCTACTGCGTGCCCTGCTCAGCCGCCCCTCTGACCTGCGGCCACCCCTCGCCTTGCTCCGTTTGCCCCTGTGCTGCGGGCCAAAGCGCCTGTCGCGGCCCGGGCTGCTGCAGCGGCCACAGCTGCGGCCGCGGCGTCGCCCGCGGGCCTCGGGGCTCCACAGGCTGCTGCAGCCTCTGCTCCAGGAGGCAGGGGGCTTCTCCAGGGCTCTGCCTGCTGCTCTAGGCCGGGAGGGCGACCAGGTGGTTCAGCTGGCCCTGGGGCTGTGAGTACAGGCGATGGAGTCAGAGGAGCGCTGACCGCGGGGGGCAGGGGACCACTCCTTGGACATTAGTCTCCGGGCGCGTTCCTGCTGGCTGCAGAACCTCCTCCTCTGCAGTTTCTGGAGAGTGTCCCCGGAGCGTTCTCTGCAGCCCTTAGTGGTAAGCGTGTCCGTGGGTCCTTCCTCCCCCCTCAGCCTGCACTGGGGACCCGAGCCTGTGTCCTTTGCATTCCCAAGGATGTGACAGGCTCCTCTAGAGGAACGTTGGGAGGCTTTGTTCAGAAGCCATTTCTGACTGGGGATTCCACCCGCACTCCTGATTGCCTCAAGAGTTTCTGGCCTCCTAAGCTCCTCTTAAGCCAGTCAGAGGAGCCTGACAGCCCTTGGAGGAGGGGAGACGCCAAGCAGGGGGCTCTTGCTATCTCCCTCCCCTGGGATAGCTTTGACATCCTTCCTGGTCTTCTGTGTCCATCCAGGAACCTTCGGCCCGGATGTTTTGTGCTGGAAAATTCTAAGCGTTCGCTTAGCCTCATGACCTCAATCTTGCAGCAGTAATCCTGTCACTGTCTGAGACAGCCAAGCTCATCTGTCTCAGGCTCTCAGTGGTCCTGGCACACATGGGTAAGTGCCCTGGAGGACTGGAGGGGAGAGATTCAAAAGCCACTAAGTGAAGTGCCCTGGAGGATTCAAAAGCCACGAAGCGAGGTGCCTTTTTGGTTTCTGTTGCTTTATATGTGTGCGTGTGTGTGTGTGTGTGTGTGTGTGTGTGTGTGTGTGTGTGTGTATATCTATATCTATTTTTTCTGGAGCTGAGGACTGAACCCAGAGCCTTGTGCTTACTGGGCAAGAACTCTACCACTCAACTAAATCGCCAACCTGCAACAGAGTTTATATAGTCTTATGAATTCACTGTATAGCCAAGGTTAGGCTTACACTCCTATTCTTCCTGCCTCCACTTCCCGAGGGTTGGGATTAGAAGCATGGGCCTCTCCCTTGGTTTTTAAATTTACTTCATCTTCCAATTCCTCCTCCTCTTTTTTCTTAATTTTTATTTACATTGTGTGTTATTTTTTTATTTTTTACTGTTTGAGTGTTCTGCCTGCATGCACACTGCACGCCAGAAGAGGGCACCAGACCTCATTATAGATGGTTGTGAGCCACCATGTGGTTGCTGGGAATTGAACTCAGGACCTTTGAGAGAGCAAACAGTGCTCTTAACCTCTGAGCCGTCTCTCCAGCCCCTGGGTTTCTTCTCTTTGTTTCATTCATTCATTTTTGTTTTTAGTTTATTTAGTTTTGTTTTTTGACAGGCTCTTCCTCTAGCTCAGGTTGGCCTCAAGAGCTCTGTCTTATCCTGCTCAGCCTCCACAGGGCTGTTTTTTTTTTTTTTTTAAAGGTGTGTGCCCCTGTGCCTAGCTGACTCGGGAGAATAGTGATGTCATTGTCTGAGTCCACTGATGAAGCTCAGCATCACTAAACGTGACAGCACCAGGGGGTTTCCTGCTGTCGTGATGCCGTCCGACCCACTCAGCACTACCTGGAAGAGATCCTGGACAAGAAGCAAACAGAACGCTCAACATGACTAACTCAAACCCCAGTGCTGTCTTTCGTGCGCACGCGTGTTCGTGGGTGTGCATACCCTGTGTGAGCGGGCAGGTGCTCCTGGAGGCCGCAGGCTAACCTTGGGTTTGTTCCTTAAAGCAACGTCCATCTTGATTTTGTTTTTCAAAACACAGTCTCTCACTAGGTCCTGTCTCTGTATCTCTGGCTCCGAAATTACACTCTTGCTACCACGCCCACAATTTTCACAGGGCTTTTGAGGATTAAATTCACATCAAGTTTGTGTGTCAAGCAAGTGCTTTACCTACTGAACTAACTCACTCCTCGGCCCCTTATTTAATGAGAAATCCAGGACATGGGAAACATATTAAATGACACAAGGAGGAAGTAAGCGGACTCCGGCGAAGTGTGGGCGATTTTAAAGAGAAAGTGACCCAGTTACCTGGATAGGTCCAACCAAGGCTGTCGGGGAAGGACAGGGGACTCAAGCACAGCTACAGCTGAGAACACTTCGAAACAGCCCAGAGCTGCGTGCCTGGGCCTGAGGCTGTGGGTGTGGACGACCACGTGAACACGTGGGTCTCTTTTTGTTCCAGATCTGGGCATGCCAACTATAAAATGTTATTTTAGAGGTTGAGGAAATTTAACTGTAGGCTGGGTTGTAGTTCTTCCTTGTGCGACAGGATCTGCTCACACAGCCCTGGTGGTCTGGAACTCACTGTGTAGCTCTAGCTGGTCTGAACTCAGTGATCCACCTGCCTTTGCCTCTCCAGTGCTAAGACTGTGTGTTGCCATTCCCAGCAAGTGCTTGTTCTAAAATGTACTTAACGTTTACCTGGGTGTGTGTGTGTGTGTGTGTGTGTGTGTGCGCGCGCATGCGCGCGTGCATTTGCGCGTGTGTATGTGCATACCGCGCATGTGGAAGTCAGAGGCTGTTTTTCGAGCCTATTCTCTGCTTCCACAGCGGGTGTCCGGACAAAGCTTGGGATGTCAGGATTGGGGGCAGGCCCTCAGCCGGGAGCCATCCTCCTGGCTCTGGACTGAGTCTTTAGGATAACAAGGAGTCAGTGCTAATTCTGTTGGCTGTCAACATGGCTCAGGTTGTGTCCCGAGGCTGCAGACAGAGCATGGAGTAAAACATTCTACTTAATCTGAAGTATTCCAGTGGAGAAGGCAGAGGAAGCAGCAGTGACAGACTCCATGATTGCTGGGTTAAATGTGTGTAGGACCATGGAATTATGTGTTCTACATTTGAGTATGTTTGAACATCTTTTAATTTACTTTTATTTTATGTACATTGCTGTTTGCCTACAAGTATGTCTGTGTGAGAGTGTCAGATCTTGGCACTACAGACAGCTGTGAACTGCCATGTGGGTGCTGGGATTTGAATCTGAGCCCTCTGGAAGAGCAGCCGGTGCCCTTAACTGCTGAGCCATCTCTCCAGCCCCATGTTTGAACAGTTTAATAATAAAAGTTCTAAAAGAAACTTCTAAGTTTGGTTTCTAGTGACTCTCTGAGCAGCCTTCCCTGAAAGCTAGGACTTCCTCCTGGCTCCTCACACCCAGGTCCTAGGTCCTGGAGATACAAAGGCCACACTAGCCCCTCTAGCCACCTGCCAGCAAACCTCCCAGTGAGATCTCCTGCAGTTGTACCTCAGGGTGCAAGGGGTCACAGTGACCTTTAGAGTACACATTTTTTTGAACAGAACCTACAATAATCCAATACAATCCCAGGGCTGGCGAGATTGCACAATGGTTAGGGTGCACACTGCTCCCAGGACCCACATTTGCTTTCTGCAGCCACATGGCAGTTTACAACCTTCTGGATCCCAGATTCCAGAAGTTCTGATGTCCCTGAGGAAACTGTATGCACACAGTGGCTATATAAACATCCACGCAGGCAAACACTCAAACCTATGACATCAAAATAAGTACATTTTTTTTCAGGCAGGATTTCCCTGTGTTGCTCTGGCTGTCCTGGAACTCACTCTATAGACCAGCCTGGCCTTGAACTCACAGAGATCCACCTACTTCTGACTCCCACATCCTGGGAATAAAGGTGTGCACCACCATGCCTGGCTAATAAATCTTTTCTTGGGGGAGTGAGAGGGTGGAGGACGGTGTTTCCAGACCTGTTCTTTCATGTAGCCGTGGCCACGGTTGAAGGACAGAACTGACTCATTGGAAATTGCCCTCTGACCTCCAAAAAGAAATTAAAGTCACCAGGCCTAGTGGTCCAAGCCTTTGATACCAGTACTAGGTAGGCAGAGGCAGGCAGAGTGCTGTGAATTTGAGGCCAGTCTGATCTCTAGGTGAGTTCCAGGCACAGTAGTGAGACCTTGCCTCAAAACAAACAAACAAACAAACAAACAAACAAACAAATACTGTTTATTTTATTGTTGCAAATTGTTTCTCCTGATTAAACCCCAGATCCTTTTACCCTATACTCCAAGGTTTTAATTTTGGTTTTACAAGACAGGGTCTCTCTGTGTAGCCCTGGCTGTCCTGGACTCACTCTGTAGACCAGGCTGGTCTCGAACTCAGAGGATCCACCTGCCTCTGCCTCCCAAATGCTGGGATTAAAGGCATTCGACACCACTGCCCGTTGTCTCCAAGGTTTTGAATAGACAAAAATCAACATTTACAGCAGTACAGATAGCTCACGCAGGCACTGTGCCATTTCATCCTCCCGAGAACTATGCAGGAGTGAAACCATGGCCCTGATTCTTGCCTTATCTCTTTCCATGGAACCAGGATAAGCTGCCGGCTTTTTCAACCCTGGGGGCTGATAGCACCTACCTTATGGATTATTTTGACAGTTAAATGCCATGCATAGTAGCTGGCCAAGGATTTTCTTTTTTTCAGTGTTAGGGATCAAAGGCTCTCATTTCATGATAGGCAAATGCTTTACCACTCATCTGCACCATCCATGTGTACGATTATGAACGGCAGGCATGAGCCTGTGGGTGTGAAGTGTCTAGGGCTACACCTGCACTAGGCTTCCAACAGCTGCAGCTGCTGTGTTTGCTATGGAGACCTCCCCGCAGCCAAGTGCAAACAATGATTTTCATAAACCTGTACTGTTTTCTTTTTCTTTTTACAACCTTGACCCATTTTCCATACCCCTTTATGTGAAACATATAACTGATAATGAAAATTGTAGATTTGATCTCACGAGAGAAAGAAAAACCACGTTATAGGCCCATGCCTTTGATCCCAGCACTCAGGAGGCAGAGGCAGGGGGATCTCTGTGAGTTTGAGGCCAGCCTGCCCTATAAAAGAGTCCAGGACAGTCAGGGCTAAAGAGAGAAACCCTGTCTCAAAAAAAATACAACAAAACAACAGAGTGAAAAGACAGGCATGATAACACCTGAAATCCCAGTGCTTGAGAGGTTGAGACAAGAAGATGGAAAGTTCTAGGCCAGGCTGGGCTACAGAGTTTTAAATTAATTAACTTATTACTATTATCATTATTATTTTGGGTTTTTGAGACAGGTTTTCTCTGTGGAACTCACTCTGTAGTCTAGGCTGGCCTTGAACTCACAGAGATTTGCCTGCCTCTGTCTCCGGAATGCTGGAACTAAGGGTGTGCACCATCCGTGCCAGGCTTAAAATAATAAAATTATCCACAAACACAGACACACACACACTAAATATACACATCTCCTTCGGGCACCTGAGCCAAGTAGACTGGTAGCCTTGTGGTCCTACCTCACTGGGCTGGAGAGGTGGCTCAGAAGTTCAGACCACTTACTTCTGTTTTAGAGGGGACTTTGGGTTTGGTTCCCAGCACCCACCTCAGGCAACTTGTAATCAGCTGTCTCTCCAGTTCCAGGGAATCCCAAGCCTCTGGCCTCCAAGGCACCTACACTAGTTGCTACACACAAACTCACACACATACACATAAGTAAAAATTCAAACAAGTTATTTACTGGAAGAATAGGTAAATAATAATGATCTGATAAATGTTAACTGCTAACAAGGGACCAGACTTCCTACAGTAATTTACATGGATTACATTATAAATTCACTTATTGGCGAATAATTACAGAGTATTTATTACATCATCAATGGATGCTGTAAGCATTAGGAACATAGGTGGACGAAATCTGCAGGGAAAACCAAGGAAGGAGCAAATAGAAAAGTCAGTCCACCAGATGCTGTTCAGTGCTATGGAAAAAAAGCAGCAAAGGCGGAAAGCAGGCCAGTAAGCCTGGGGTGCAGCTCCCAGAGCCCGGCTCTTGGGAGGTGGAGGCATGAAGATCAGGAGTTCAAGCTTAACTGTGGTTACACACTGAGTTGAAGGCCAGTCTGGACAACACAGACCTGTCTATAAAAAATAAATAATGCAAAAAGGGGAGGTAGGGACATAGCTCAGTGGGCGGAGTTCTTACCTGGCACAGACAAGGCTCAGCACTCAGGATCCTTAGGCTCAGGATCAAGCTGGGCTACAAACTTTAGGCCTGCGAACTCAGGAGACCCTCATCTCCAAAACAAAGAGGGGCAGGGCTGGAGTGGTTACGAGTGCTTGCTGCATTTTCGGACTTCCAGGGTTTGGCTCTTAGCACACACATGGCTTTTCAGACTTGTCTGTAACTCCAGTTTCAGGGGATCTGACATTTTTTTCTGACCTCCATGGATACTAGGTGGTCACATGGGACACAGACATATTTGAAAGCAAAACACTCATGTATGTATAGAATAAGATAAAGTTGAGGGAACCCTCCACCTCCTCCCCCCCCCAAAAAAAAACCCCAGCTTTTTGTGAAACAACAACAACAACAACAACAGGATCTAAAAGGCTTCTTGAGCATCTTTGTTTCCTTGTCTGTTCTTTGTATGGGTGTGTGCCTATGTGCCTCTGTGCATACTACTTTCATGCAGATGTCCTCAGCAGTCAGTCAGATCCTCTGGCAATGGAGTGACAGGTAGTTGAGAATCACCTACAGGATGTGGTGCTGGGAACCAACCTCTAGTCCTCTGCGAGAACAGCTCTTAATCTGTTAGCCACCGAGTGTCCTCTCTAGCCACTATCTACCCACCTACCCATCTACCTTTCTTTCTTCCTCTCGTTCATTCGTTCGTTTTTTAAGACAGGGTTTCTCTGTGGAGCTTTAGCTGTCCTGTCCTGGACTCTCTTTATAGACCAGGCTGGCCTTGAACTCACAGAGATCTGCCTGCCTCTGCCTCTGCCTCTCTGAGTGCTGGGATTACAGGCGTGCACCACCGCAGCGGTTAGGAAGTCTTCTCTGAAACATGACTTAGTAACCGAAGACTGGAGGAGGTAAAGGAGGTAACTGCCGTGTTGAGGAACCTTACAGGGAGCGAGTGTAGACAGCGCAGGAGGCAGGGTGCGTGCAGAGGTTGAGGTCCTGCCTGAAGCAAAAAGCGCCCCCTCCCCCACGCATTTGTATGCCTGTAGAAAGATTTTGGTTTCCATCCTTAGTGAAAAGGTCCCATTGGAGGGTCTCCAGGACGTAGCGCTGAGGCAGGAGAAAACTTAACATTCCAGCAGAGAGCAGTTTCTAGGTAGCGAGAGGGGGGAGCTAGCCGGGCGGGGGCGGCGCGCGCCTGTGATCCCAGCACTCAGGAGGCAGCGGCGGGCGGATCTCTGGGTTCGAGCCCAGCCTGATCTACACAGTAAGCTCCAGCGAAGCCCTGTCTGGAAGAATCAAAAGCAAACAAAAAGGGTTTTGCTGTCCCTCGTCACTCGGGCACTGCCTTCCTGGAGAGAGGAGCGGGGCGGCTTGCCTCTGCTGGTCAGTGGAGGGCCTGTGCGCGGACTCGGCTTCTCTACCCCGCACCGCCTCGGAGGTGTGTGGACTTCACTGACGGCGGGCCGGGAGGTCGCCGCGGGGCAGCCTGGTCTCGGGCGGCGGAGTTCAACGGCAACCGCGGCCTCTGAGGACATCCGGGCTCCCTCCGAGGATCCGCTGCATCCACTCGCGACGACCCCGCGGGCCCCGACCGGGCGCCCCCGGCAGCAGCCGCTCCCCGGCCCCGGGGCGGGGCTTCGGAGCCGGCCCCCGTCACGTGACGGGCCCATCATGGCGGCGGCCACGAGCCAGCCCGGCTCCCGGAAGCAGGCTGCGAGGGGCGGGCGCGCTGCTGGAACCCGAACGGAGCCGGAGCCAGTGCGGGGAGGGCGGCCCGGCGGCCTGGAGCCGGACGTGTCCGGAGCGTCCCCGCAGACCGGGGCAGCAGGTGAGACGGGGGCCGGGCGGGACGCGGGCGGGTGAGGGGACGCCGCGCTGGGGCTAGGGGGCGCAGGGGGTCACTCGTGACCCGGAGTCCAGGGAGCCTGCGGTGCACGCGCGTGACCGCGAAGCAATTGGAGAGGCCGGCGCGGGCGGAAGGGGATGCTCCAGAGAGCTGTGGAGGCGCCGAGCTCCGAAACTGGCTCGTCGGTGGGGAAGCCTGCGGAGGCTGTCGTTGGAGAAGGGGAGCAGCCCCTTTAGAACCCGCGGG